ACAACGAAAATATATGTATTGTTGTAATCCGAAAAATGCTATTAGAAATGAGTTATTGTTTTTGGAGCGAGCAGTCGGAACGCTGAGTTTGAATTTAAATTTTACAATTGTGCGTTCTTATACAAATATGGTGATAAGGGAATTCCTTTTTACTGGTAAATTTTCTGTCAAAGTGGCATGAACTATATTGTTCACTAATTACAGTAATGTCGCACTTATTATCCAAAAGTTGCATTTGGATCAGTTATTTTAATTTCAATAAAGGTGCAATCAATTTACAAATTCATGAATTATTCATACAAAAAACAAATACAAAGGTTAATGATTTAATTGGCGAGAAATCCATCGTCGCAAACAATTCAAATAATATACAAAAACCCCGAACCTGTTTATGAATATATATATATCATTTAAATAAAAACAGACAACTTTAAGGTTCCATGTAATAAATTATTTCACCACAGCCCTTTTAAAAGGACTGCGGATCATCAGACTTTACTTCCAAAGGTTGAAACGAAAAATGAAAAGAAATTTACACATTTTTTGACGGGCCGTATTAAGCATATGTAAATTAACGAAGTGAGTAAGTGAGTGGGGAGGGAGAAGTCATGAGTGAGTTAGATGTAATTTAATATTTCTATTCTTTCATACTTAAAATTACTTGAGGACGTCCAGACATTGGCACATTTAAACGGTTAACTTAACGGAAGTTATATATTGATATAGAAGGGGTAGAGGAGAAAAAAGACATAAAAAGAAAAAGCGAGAAGGAATTCACGAGAGAAGGTGTCACTAATTTTTTTTGGAAAGAACAGGCTCGAAAGAGATGCTCTTATTTTGTTTTAGTTTGAAAGTGTTATTTTGGGGGTTCATAAAGATTATAATGTTTGATATAAATTTAAATGTCTAAACTGTATACAAAGAATTTAATTTGATGTTTGTTAGTGATTTAATTTTTTTTTTTTTAATTTTGGGGATTTTCTATGAAATAGTCGATTAGAAAAAATATTCATATAAAGTACTTTAAAAGAATAAAATTTTATTTTAAAATATAAGTTAACATCTAGTAATCTTTTTATTTAAAAAAATTATTATTGATTATTAAGTTGACATCTCTATATATATATATATATATATATATATATATATATATATATATATATATATATATATATATATATAACCTATAATTATATAATTTATATTTTTGGAAAGTAAAAGTTTCACTAAAATATCTTGATAAATTTCCAAATTTTCATCTGAAATCGAGAAAATATGAACTTGAAGCAATATATAAGGAAATAAAAGACGTAGTAGTGTAATGGTTAACAAGCTTGTCCCGCTAGAGCAATTGCGACTAAGTAGTGAGTTCGATCCTCACTGGGTACCCCATACTTTCGGCCATGTGCCACATCTGAGGTACGCTTGGAAAATCACTATTAATCATTTACATACCCATCTTTGTTTCTTTCTTTGTACTATATTCTGCTGCCGTCAGTTTATACTGATAAATTATTTTTGAAAATGAAAATATCACTGAGATATGTTGGAAAATTTTCACATTTTCATCAGAAATCATCACAACATGAAATTTAATCAAAATGTTTAGAATATATGGGCATAAAGTTTCAGTTTAAACTGATGTCAGGAGGATATATATATATATTGATTATATATATATATATCCTCCTGATTAATATAGTTCATGCCACTTTGACAGAAAAATTTACCAGTAAAAAAATTTGTTCATCACCATATTTTGTATGAACGCACAAACTTTAAAAAATTTAAAATCAAACTCAGCGTTGCTTTGGCGCGTTCCAAAACCAATAACTCATTTCAATAGCATTTTCGGATACAACAACACATATATTTTCGTTGTCCTCTTATTACTAAGAGAAAAAAACAAGAACAACATCTATTTTATACCTGAAGATGTCTGTAGGAACAGACGAAAGCTTGTAGTAAAAATAACAACTAATACGGCAGAAATTTATATAAACAAGGATCAATTCATTCATAACGGATTTGGAGGTTTTTGTATACTATTTGAATTGTTTGCGATGATGGATGTCTCGCCATTTAAAACATTAACCTTTGCATTAGTTTTGTGTGAATAATTCATGTATATATATATATATATATATATATATATATATGAAAAGTGTATATAAATAAAATATATATATATAACTATTTATATATATATATATGCGGTACTTATTAGAAAGCGCTCAATATCAGAGATAGAGCTAACATATTTGGTTGAATAGATGTGAGTTTGTGACCCTGGGTTTCACGCTTTAGCGAGAGTTTGTCTGACGATCGCTAAAGCGTGAAACCCAGGGAAACAAAACATCTATCCAACCAAATACACACACACACACACACACACACATATATATATATATATATATATATATATATATATATAAAATCTAAACTATTATTATAAACTATTATTTTCTAAAATTAAAATGTCATTTGAATATGTTGGAACTCTTTCCGATTTTCATATGAAATGAAGAAATTATAAACTTTATGAAAAAAGCCATACGGAAAATAGAAGGCGTCAGTTTAAATTTACACCATGATATATGGGTTATAATGCGTAGGGAAAATGCTTCGTATTTGAATAGAAGGAGAAAAGATCTAAAAGGATGTTTAAAAATCGGAAACCAATGTATTACTTTAGCTAGTTTCGTTTCGTTTGGCAGAGGGCCACAGTATCTGGGAACCTATTAAATGAATGCCTCGGAGCCAGAGAGAATGAAATAGATAAAGGAATAATAAAAAGAAAATTTGGTTAAAGTGTTTGGGGGCAAGTGATTAAAATGATGAGAAAGAAAGTATGAATAAAGTGAAAGGGTAATACAGAGAAGATACGCAAATTTGGTTGGAGAAAAAGGTATGAAAAAAATGGAGAGATAAGTGGTGTGAGGCCTGGAGAAATATATTTCACAAGCCAAGAAATGACAGGTGCAAAGGAAACTTAAGAACAAGGAAAAAAAGAAGTGCAAAAACGATATAACGCTTAGAAAAAATATACTGTAATATTGGAAGAAGTAGGAAAAAAGAGTAAAGAAAAAAATAATCAGAATACGAAAAAAAGAAAGAAAGAAAGAAAAAAGAAAGAAAGAAAGGAACGGAAGAAAGAAATGAAGAAAGAAAGAAAATATAAGATTAGCGAAGTTAGAAAGAAAGAATGAGAGAGACATGAAGAAATGAAAATACATTACGAGAAAGAAAGAAAGAAAGATAGAAAAAGGAAAGAAGGAAGTAAAGAAAGAAAGAAAGAAAGAAAGAAAGAAAGTTGAAGAAAAATTAGTTAAAATAAAAGGTTAAGAAAGAAAGAAAGAAAGAAAGGAACGGAAGAAAGAAATGAAGAAAGAAAGAAAATATAAGATTAGCGAAGTTAGAAAGAAAGAATGAGAGAGACATGAAGAAATGAAAATACATTACGAGAAAGAAAGAAAGAAAGAAAGAAAGACAGAAAAAAGGAAGGAAGGAAGGAAGGAAAGAAAGAAGGAAGAAAGGAAGGAAGAAAAATAAAGAAAGAAAGAAAGTTGAAGAAAAATTAGTTAAAATAAAAGGTTAAGAAAGAAAGAAAGAAAGAAAGAAAGAAAGAAAAAAGAACAAACAAACAAACAAACTAAAAGAAAAACAATGAAAGAAAGAATGAAAAATTCTATTAAGGAAGATAGCGAGAAAGGATGAAAAAACGAAAGAAAAGAAAATAAATACATTAAGAAAGAAAAAAAGAAAGAATAAAAGAAATAAAAAGAAAGAATAAAAGGAAGAAAATCGAGAAAAGCTGCAAAGTAAAAAAGAAAAGAAAATTAAGAGAGAAAAAGGAAGAAAAAAGAATGAAAGAAAAACACGAAAGAAAGAAAAAGAGTTACCATACAAAAAAGAAATGGTGAGCAAGAAATGAAGAAACAATAAAATACTTACATTATGAGAAAGAAAGAAAGAAAGAAAGAAAGAAAGAAAGAAAGAAAGAAATGGAAAGAAGAAAGAAAACAGAAAATCGAAGGATGTTGCATAGAAAAGTTAGTTACAAAATAAGATAAAGAAAGAAAGAAAATCTAATATTAACGAAAATAGAAACAAAGAGTTAGGGAGAAATGAAAGAAAAGAAAATATATAAGAAAGAAAGAAAGAAAGAAAGAAAGAAAGAAAAGAAATACAATATACGATTAAGGAAAATAAAAAAAGTGAGAAAGAAATGAAAGAAAACAAAATACTAACATTTGGGAAAGAAAGAAGGAAAGAAAGAAAGAAAGAAAGAAAGAAATATGAACAAACAAACAAACAAAAAACAAGATGGAAACAAACATAGTTACAAAGTAAAAATAACGAAAGAAAAGAAAAAAAAACGATGGTGAGAAAAGAGAAAGAAAAAACAGAATTGCAAAATAAAATAAATTAATAAATTTTATAATATAAGGTTAAAAAGAAGAAAGAAAGATAGAACGAAAGAAAGAAAGAAAGAAAGATAGATAGATAGATAGATAGATGGATAGATAGATAGATAGATGTACAGAAAAGAAAATAATTACAGTATATATAAAGAAAAGAAGAAATAAAGAATAAAAGCAAAAAGATAAGAAAAGGTTGGGGAAAAAGAAATGTAATGAAAATATATGATGTCGAAAGAAAAAAAAACATTGAGCACAAGACACACAAACAGACGCACACTAGCTGGAAAGAAAAAGATAATTCATTTGCACAACCTGGGAATAATCGAATGAGGCTTAATAGGAAAGAGACAAGAATAAAAGTTAAAAGTTAAAAAAAAAAAAAAAGTATTAGAGAAGTCGGGGGAGGGAGGAGAGGAGGAGGAGGAGGGAGAGAGGGGGGAAGAGAGAGAGAGAGAAATCGATTTCCTATTCGGCCTTATTTGACATTTATCGATCTCCAGCCTCATTCCTCACGTGGAGGTAGATTCACAAACTTTAGGGACACACGCTCCGTCGTTTTTTTTTTTTGTCGGCAAG